ACGCTTAGTACAGTCCGTTAGCTCCTATTCTATTATTACGTAAGCTGATTAGCTCGTCTAAGGAATTATCCCTTGTGAAGACACGTACTAGGAATTGGCTAAGCTGCGAATAACCAGCACCATTCACAAACCTATTTTTAGCTTTCGTTTTACGGTGAAAATTAACAGATCATAGTTGTCATCGTCACACTCCTTGATCATGACCGCCAGTCGGCTGCATCATCATCGTCATCTGCAGATGCTGCATTTAATGTCCAGGGCAGCCCGGATAACCGGTTTCGGGATTCAGCGGATACCAAGAGCGATGCGCACCTTTCAGCAGCAACAACAACTATAACAATAATAATAACTGCTAGTGCTACTACTAAATTTTTTTGATTTGATTCAGTCAGAAAAAGGAAACTAACGTCTTATCACTGCCCTATCAGTGTTTTCACCCGCCCGCCTTCCTGCCTGCACGATTGCCTTATCCTGTCCGTCGCATTCTAATTCGCTGCGCAGGAGCAAACTTGTTCCAGTACTCCTATGCCTCTTGCCGGTCGATCGGTCTGTGCGTTTCAGACATGGACAGCCATTTTTTGTTTCCATTTTGATGATCCGCCAGCCCATTGTCCACATAGGATCGCCACCGCCAGCGTTCGCAGCATTGTCATCGCGTCCAGGACACCATCAGCAACAACAACAAATATGCACACACATACACACAGAGACACTGGTGTTCCAAATTTGCAAAGTTGTCCCATCGGTTCCACACGACAATACTCATTTCTCTTTTGCGCCGCGGGAAAAAAGCAAGGAAAAACAAAAATTTCATTCATTTCAATTCTCTTTATCCCGCCGTATCCATCCATCCAATCATCCGACCGTGCGTCGTCCACTAGTCCGCCTTTTCATCCATCCGGCTGTATTGCTACCGCCCCATCCAACTGTCCGTCCTTCTGTCCATCCATCGTCCTTTCGTCCATCCTTCTTCCCAGTGTTGTTATTCACTTCTGTCTTGCTGCAGCAATCCTAGCAGCAGCAGCATACAGTTAGCAAGTTTTGCCGATTTAAGTATTCCTTACTTTCGCCCTACTGCTCTCACTACGGTAATTAGTTCCCGTGCTACAGTTACCGATATTGTTGCCGTTACCACTATCATCACAACTGAATTTATGGTTGGAACGGAGCGTAAATTCAAGCTGATTGTATTTTGCATTCAAAAACGAGGGAGGGAGGGAAGGAGAGGGTCGCTCTTCTGCCAATCGGTAACAGCTATTTTCTGAAAGGGAGTGGAGGGCGGAAACCGACAGTGGTGAGAGCCCGTTGTTTTGCAGTTTTCTTTTCCCGGTAGCGCAGGGTGGACACTGGCCACCACATACACACCAATAATAATTCCCTGCGCAGTTTGTTGCCTGCCTTGTCACTGGTGCCATCGAACCGTGTCACTGTCATCCGAAATCTTCTCACTTTCATCTTCTCTTTTTCCGAGGCACCATTACGCACACCCCCACACACACACGCACACACCAAATCCTCAGTTTTCCTGACAGTTCAATCCTTGGCATTTGTTTCTTCTACTTACTGTTACCTGTACTTCTGTATACCATTGCTGCTGTCAGTGCTGCTTCTTCAAATGCTACTGCTTCCGCTGATGATAACATCACTGGATTGGGAATGAGTTGCGCGACTCCTTGGAGGCGCTTCCAGAGAACAAGCGCACAATGCCCAGAAACTATCTTTCAGCTTATTAACCCCTATTAATTCTCATACCGCCTGTCTGACTGCTTGTTTTTTCTGTTCGCGTTCCATGCTTCCTCAGCGATCTTCTTGAGTGGATGCGAAACGAAAACGCAACACCAAAAGCAACATCTCATGTTACAAAATGCAAAAAGCTCTAGCAGCGATGGCAAAACTGACAATGGTTCTGGCTACGGTGGCGCATTTCAACCATTTCGCGCCTCGGCAAATCTTTCGTCAACACAGACACGCGCCGAATCGACGCCCAAAATTATTAGCGGTAGCTCAAACGGGAGGCAAAAATCGCAAGAAATGGCTGTCGCCGACTCATCCACTCCAAGTACCACCACTGCAGAGAGACGCAAAAAAAAGCCCTACAAGGAGCTAACGCTGGAGGAGAAAGTGCAGCTAATCCGACTGGCTGAGGAGAATGCCGGGATGAGTCAGGCCAGTATCGCGGAACGTTATTCAATTGCCAAAAGCAATGTTTGCCGGATCCTGCAGCGAAAACAGGAGTACCTTCGAGCATACGAATGCGCTGGTTTTGCTGGCTCCCGGAAGCGTAAATTGCGTGGCGATCCACAGCAGCAGCACCATCATCATCAACAGCGCCATTCACATCAGCAACATGCTAGCAACAGTTCGACGGCGCCCACTTCTTTATCGAGTGAGAAAGTGGAATGTGCAGTAAGCGGTAGCACAATACGTAATGATGCAGAATCTGCGCGGTTCCAAGTGTCGAACAATCAGTTGGTGTGCGCAGCGCGTGCAACTGCTCCAAACGCGCCAATGCGCACCGGCACAATCATACAACGCGGTAACAGATTTCAGTTTATACGTTCTTTCACGTAAATGTGCGGTGCAGGACTGCCGCTGAAGACGGGAACAGCTGTTTTAGAGGACTTACAGCAAAATTTCAGTGAATGGTAGAGGTAGTGAAAATAATTTTAACAGTAATAACAGTAGTAGTGATATTAAAAATAACAAAAATACAATCGATAATTGCCGCTATTATTGTAGTTGTGACGCTTAAAATTAGAAAAAGTAAGGTTTAAGTGAAGCTAAATTATGTTAGTAGATGCAAAAAAAGTTTTTGTTGTTTAATTTGGATACACTCTTTGCAGTACCACAACTGAACCTCATCAATACGGAGGTTGCGGTATAAAATTACATTGTATTAGTTTTGACAGAAATTCACTGTTGCGTTAAAAAAAATATTCAGAAAACTATTTTACCAATTTTCATTGTTAAAGTATTCATTAAACATATAATAGTGAGCACAACAGATCGGAGCACCAATGTTTTTTCGGGATAAATATTGTTGCGCATCTCGTAATGCACCGGTGGTCAGAGGGCGACTGTACTACCCATGACTGTTATTAATGCTCCAGTTCGCATCCGGGGAACATTTTGCAAAACAAAAAATGTCAACAGCTGGTTTGAAACTGTCCATTGTAAACCAATAATTATTATAAAACGCTAGAAAAAGACACCGTAATTTTGAGCCGCTGCTGGAATATCGTTCCTTTTGTAACAGGATTCAAATACTTCATCACGATAGGTTAAAGTTTCCACGAAACGCTTTTTTACAATCACATAAGCGTTTTTCTTCTTTCTGTATTACACGTCGGGTGCACAGCGCTCAGCATGTGGGAGCATCCTAGTAACGTCATTAGCAGAGAATTTTACACTGATAATCCAAGCAGTCTTGATATTCATGGTATATATACATATATATATGTATGATACATACATGTCCTTAACGCAATATCTGAAAAAAAAAC